ATTCACATAAATGATGATAAAAAATTGTTTTATTTTCAGATTTAAGACGATTAATTTTCTGTAATAATTCTTTATTATTAAGTTTTTCCATCCAGTCAATGATTTTGTCATAAAGCTTTGCATCGGGTGAGGAATGAAGATTTTGTTGTTTACCCTTATTCTGTTTACGCTCTTTATCACAAAAAAAACAAACATTTTTGAGTTGTCGATCTTTTCCAACATCTTCAATATTAGTATTAGGAATTTCATTAAAAGCATTAGTTTCGCTGTAAGCAACATATTCTAACGTTGTCTGACTATCTAAATTTGAAGCAGCATTTTCACTAATATCTACTATAATACTTGGTGACAAAGTGGGTGAAGTGAAGTTACTGGCATAATCTGTTTCTGATGATGTATCACGGTATTTTGCCATTAAAGCAGTAAAACTACTATAACACTGTCTATGATATCCATCTGTCTTATTAATTTGTGTGGGCAGCTCAATGTCACTGTACTTTAATTTATGTTTCACACGTACACTTAAAACTTGCTGACATTTTTTTAGTTTATCACCCTCGAAAAGTATTAAATTATCGTTATGTCCTTTACATATAACACACTTTATTTTGTCATTAGCCATTGTAACTAAATTAAAAAATAATCATTAAAATCAAAACAATTCAAACATGTGACATTAGACTGACGCCAACTCCACGCTCCACAAACTTTTTAACTTCTTGCAAACTTTGTGAAAAAGTTTGCAAGAAGTTAAAAAGTTTGTTTATTTTTGTGTTTTTTACTTTTTTTTTTTCATCTTTTTTGTGACGTCACTATAGGCTAAAACAACTTGAAAACTTAATATTAATTATTCATAACTTACATTTAGTAATTAGGACAATTTAAATAAAGTGTTGATTATTAATTTTAATCAAATTTTATATTCCTTTTTATGCTCGTACTACAAGCATTATACTGCAATACTTTTCATAACTTTTACATTTTAATTCAAGACTTAACAATCGAATTAATGTCTGGCAAATTCATTTTCAGTTTTTCTTATATTTAAATAACATAATATTAAAGTTACAGACATTCTAAAATGCTTTGAAATTTTTATAAAAATAAAACTTAAAATCGCGTCTGGCATATAGTTAGCAACGTGAAAAATGTCTGGCAATAAAAAAAGTATGTCAGGTAGACGTATTTAAAAAGGAAAAATTAAAAATTACGCTTCTTAAAATGCAATGCTTCATCATACTGCAATACTTTATCATTTTAATTCAAGACTTAACAATCGAATTAATGTCTGGCAAATTCATTTTCAGTTTTTATTATATTTAAATAACATAATATTAAAATTACAGACATTCTAAAATGCTTTGAAATTTTTATAAAAAATAACTTAAAATCGCGTCTGGCACATAGTTAACAATGGGAAAAATGTCTGGCAATAATAAAAGTATGTCAGGTAGACGTATTTAAAAAGGAAAAATCAAAAATTACGCTTCTTAAAATGCAATGCTTCATCATACTGCAAAACTTTATCATTTTAATTCAAGACTTAACAACCGAATTAATGTCTGGCAAATTCATTTTCAGTTTTCCTTATATTTCAATAACATAATATTAAAATTACAGACATTCTAAAATGCTTTGAAATTTTTATAAAAAATAACTTAAAATCGCGTCTGGCACATAGTTAACAATGGGAAAAATGTCTGGCAATAATAAAAGTATGTCAGGTAGACGTATTTAAAAAGGAAAAATCAAAAATTACGCTTCTTAAAATGCAATGCTTCATCATACTGCAAAACTTTATCATTTTAATTCAAGACTTAACAACCGAATTAATGTCTGGCAAATTCATTTTCAGTTTTCCTTATATTTCAATAACATAATATTAAAATTACAGACATTCTAAAATGCTTTGAAATTTTCATAAAAATAAAACTTAAAATCGCGTCTGGCACATAGTTAGCAACGTGAAAAATGTCTGGCAATAAAAAAGTATGTCAGGTAGACGTATTTAAAAAGGAAAAATCAAAAATTACGCTTCTTAAAATGCAATGCTTCATCATACTGCAAAACTTTATCATTTTAATTCAAGACTTAACAACCGAATTAATGTCTGGCAAATTCATTTTCAGTTTTCCTTATATTTCAATAACATAATATTAAAATTACAGACATTCTAAAATGCTTTGAAATTTTCATAAAAATAAAACTTAAAATCGCGTCTGGCACATAGTTAGCAACGTGAAAAATGTCTGGCAATAAAAAAAGTATGTCAGGTAGACGTATTTAAAAACGAAAAATTAAAAATTACGCTTCTTAAAATGCTTTTAAAATCCAGGATTTTTACCTGGACAGATAGGATGCGCACTAATGAACGCAACCACTACCGCCAGCCAGATTGCCCAGACTCTAACCGGAAGTGCAAGAAGGAAGACATATCACAAAATCAGCTGACCTGAAATTCTTTCTCGAAAACGTTGCTACCTCCCGTACTATAATGAAACCTTTAGATAATGCCCATAGAAGTCATAAAATTAGTGTGGATTAATTTAACTAGTTTAACATTTTTTTGAATTTAGCAAACAATGGTAGCCATTTAACACGCTACATAAATGTATTTTTTTAAATTATATATTTGAAAAACAACCACTGATGGACATAGCTGTGATAAAATTATTTGTTATGGTAAGACTAGTTTTATAGAACAATTGTGGGGTGACCATTTTATGGCCTTTGGCTCTGAATTCAAAATTTGGGTAAAAATTCTATAAAGAATTTACGAATAAACTTTCATTTAGTTTAATGCAAATAATATAAATTTTAAATTGAAATATTACATTTTCAGTAGAATAAAAACGAGAGAATAAATATTACATCAGTCAAACCGTGTGGTCCCTAAATTTTAATAAATTTTTAAAACAATTTAATATTTTTTTCGGCACTCTCTCTCTACCCCAGCGTTGCCAGATTTCTTTTTTAGTCAAGTCGGGATTTAGGCACTTTTAAAGTAAAAAAAGCGGGATTCATTTGTCGAAAGCGGGACATAGTAAGAAAATTTAAATAATCAGAAGTTTTTAAATATTTATGTTTTTAATTGAGTTCAAATCACGTTTTTGTTTAATCGTTTAATTTAATTGCAAGTAAAGTGGTACATTAAGATCTTTCTTTTCACAATAAACGGAAAACCTGTTACAATCTTTTTGTGACAATAGACAGCGAAAATAGTCACAGAAAATTTATATAAATCAGATTAAACCTATCGTTAAATAGTTCTTATTCATCTTCTGATTAAAAAAAAAAAAAAAAAAAAAAAGTCTTATGTATTAGAAAAATATAGCGTTTCAAACAATACTCTGAAGATTAAGGGTTTCAAATTGCAACTTACAATAAGACAGTAATTTTTATAAGAATTACTTATTCATAATATTTCTATGAAGATATAACTTCTTTAAAAGATTCATTTTTCTCTTTAAAAAGACGAAGAACTCTTCACAGGATAGCTGCAGATTAAACTTGATGAGTAACTCTGATTTCATTAAATTTACGAAGCATTTAAAAAAGAAGGCGTTTTGGAAAGCAGTTTGATGGTAGGATACTTAATATAAAGTTTGAAAATAATCCCGGTTTTTTTTTTGGATTCTGTTAAGAGAGTTGGTACCAATATTGTGCGGTGGTGGTAGTACACACTTCTTATTGCCATCGAATTATTCCCGAAAAGCGGGACTAAGCCTGTCCCGCCCGGGACATTTCATTTTGATTTAAAAATCGGGACGTCCCGCCAAAATTGGGACGTCTGGCAACGCTGCTCTACCCCCTCTCTCAGCTGCCAGTAGAGGTATTTCCTAAACGATACGACTTATGGGCAACTCAAGAAAAGAGCCTACCTTAAAACGTCGGCAACATACCGGTGATTATCACTTTATTCACAGTGAGCACCACTTTGTTTGCCTATTATTTATTTATGATTAGACTCGATACATCGAGATATTATCATTATCCTATCAAATTATTGTTTAACTATTGTGGTATCAGCAACATATTATATAAAAGGAATAAAGTGAAATTTGGTGCTTTCAAATGTAAAGACGAAGATCTACAATTCAAGAAATGTACAAAAATCAGTAAAACTACACCCAATTTCTTGAAGTGAAACTCCTTTAGGCACATGAGGGTAAATTTTTTTACGGGTGAAACGCAATAATAGTAATATTAGCGTCACGAAGATGTGCAGCGTTTTTGTAGAAGAAAAGGGAGAGAGCGATTGAGACCGATTGAGAGAGAGTGAGAAGGACAAATTACCGTGTAGAAATTATATTTTTAAAATTAAAATTACGTAAAGAGAATTTATGAAATATTAGTATTTTATATTTTATGCAAAAAAAAACGCACGCATCGTGAAATTTCACTCATATAAATTTTTCATAACGCGCCTATAGAAGTATAACTTCAAAAATTAAATTTATAATTTTTATTAATTTATGACACTTAATATTTTAATGACATTTCAAATCATTAAATTTCTAACATATCTTCCTTTTTTTTTAGATTTGTATAAATATGAACAAAACTTAAAAATTAGTTTGCCAAAGAAGTTTCACTTCTGACTGACAAAGTACATTTGTACGCCCACACTTTTTTTTAATTTATTGTTTATTTTCATTAACAAACCCCATAAAAAAGATTTGGAAATATCTTTCAAAATATTTAAAAAATTTCGCAAACACGCTGCATAACGTCAAGACACAAATTTATGTCACATTTCGTTATTGATGGTCAAAAATCATGGCAATTTTTCGTCTTTTGGATTTTAGGGGAAAATAGTTATTCAAGTTGGCAATACTGCAAAAACGGCGAATGAAAAGTGTTTCCGAAAGAAATTATACATAGCCTTTAATGTGATTTTGTGAATTTGTGTTAGTGCAAAATTAATTGTAGACTGTGTTTGGGTTTAATAAATATTTTTGGAGCAAAGTTCCCAAAAAAACGAACCGCTTGGTAGTAATATGAGTAATGTTACCAACCAAAATGGAACAGGTCTAGAGCAGCAGGTCGGTACCTCATGTTCTTTGTATTGATTTTTCTTTTAATGAATGGAAATCTCGTTTTGGAGGGTGTAGTCTTGCTAAATCTTTTATTTGAAAACCGAATAACATGATTTCATGTTGCCCAAAGGTTTTTGTTATGGCAGAATTACTTTTACGTGTCTTAGCTTAACCAACATGGCGTCCTACTCTTGGGAACGTAGGATCATAGGGTGACTGGGTCAGAGTAGGCTCTTACTTTTTGGTATTCAAAGTGTAAATAGTATATTTCAAATTAACATATATAATCTAGATGTCTATATATATATACATCTATAGTTCTGTAGTTAAAATTAGCAAATTATGAGTTGAGTAGTGAGAGTTTTAAAACTGCAATATTATATTTCATTCCTTAAGTATATGGAATTTGATTATTATATTCATATTCTTTATTTGTATAGTCATATAATGAAATTTCCTTATGGTTACATGAATGTTTAATAATTTACAACTATGGATAGTCTTTCAAGGAATGGTTTTTCATATATAAATTAATTACTTTATATAAACACAAGTTCTGAGAATTCTAGATTGTAGGTGATGAAATGAAAGAAAACACTTATTTTCATTGAATTTCAGTCAAATCTATAAAGTTTCTTGATATGCTGTGATGGTAATTGGTTGCTTTTGGTTTGGTGGATGGTTGATTTGAGTCCTGGCTGTATAATACAACATATCTGATAGCTATATTTAAAAACAATGGAATCATTTACATTAATGTCACAATATCTAATATTAGATTTCATGACCTTGACAGTTGCAAATTAGTTTTTATTTTATGTGGTAAAATTTATGTGCACTATAGCTGTTTACTAAATGGAAACATCTTTAAGTTTATACAGGAAATTGGCGAACATCTTAAAATTCCATGACTCATTGTCATATGAGTCACCCTTAAAGGTCAAAAAATCTATTTAGTGATTGTGTTTTATATGAAAGTAATCTTTGTGTTAAATATTGACTAACATTGTTATAATAGCTAACTTATTAATACAGTTAACTAGACATGTTAAATGATAACAAATATTATATACAAGTGCTAATATTCAAATCTCTGCTTAATAATATATCAAATCTACAGGAAAGGGCATGTATGCTGTTACATATGTTTTAAAATAGAAGTCAGTAGACATTGGTCCATCTTACTCCTCTTAATCACTACAATTACCAACAAAGCCAGGGGTGGTAAACATAGTTTATTTTTATAACCTATAAACAATATACACTAAGAATTATTCAGATAATCTGCTAAAGCTAGACATAACTAACATAATGTTATTTGTGTCTTAAAATTTAAAATTAACATTTGAAGTATAATGTACACATAAGTTTTCCATTATTTTCATTCATCAGTGTATGAGAAATGACCTAATGCTATAATTTGATTAACCCTTACGGTTATTTCACAAATCAATCAAAGAGAACTTCAATCAGCCCTGTAGTTGTTTATCAATTAATTAATAGTTATATGAGTATTGGAAACCTTAAATCAGTTAAATAGAAATTATGTATTTGCTTTTGAACAAAGCTTCAATTATTTTCATCTTACATCAGAAGCATCAACAGTAGATGCATCTAAATGTGACCTTATATCAAATCTGCTTGCTATACATGTATAGGTGAATTGTATAAGTGAAAATTTTAGGTTAAATTTTAGACAGTATATACCAGATTATGACTGAGGCACAATTCTGATACTTGTACAGAAGTATGCTAGCCAGAGGTGTTAAAATGATTTCATTAATGAATTGTATCTATTTCATTTCATTGCTATATTGTGATTGGTCAACAGTAGAGATCTCAATATACACAATAAGTGGTTTTGTCTTTAAACTTTCACATACTTAACATAACTAAGATTGTGGTTGGTTAGTAAACAGTTTTAGTATGACTTTATTTAAAAAAAATGATAGTAGCCCACTTATTTTCCGGGAACAATCTAAAAAGCAAGCAAGTCTATCTTAGTAACCAGTCTTTAATTATAGATGAGGTGACATTTTTATCACATGTATCAGTTAATTATAATTAAGTACTTTGTGTATGTGATACATTGTTAGGACAAACACTACAAATATTTGGAACACAGCTATATGGAATGAGCAGTGAGCAAAATGAGGAGTGTTGGCATAGTGGTTTCAGAGTAGCACTCTCATCCCTGAGGTTATAGGTTTGAACCCTGGCTTTGCATCAAAGGACTTTCTGTCTATGTGCGCATTTAACAGTAGCTCTTTTATATAACATAATTATTGTTGTGAATAAATAATATTTAATGAGAAATGTTACATATATATATTATTCAGAATTCTTAAAGTAGTTAGGTTTCTTGGTGGATATTAAGTATTGAGTATGTAATTTACTTGTTTATATTGTGACAAAATGTATTAAAAAATTGAGACAGCGATCGAGTGACTTGCAGTTTTATGAAACTGATTGATGCATATTTACTATATATCCATTCTTTCAGCTTGCTGGTCTGGACTTGCAGCCTCAGGCTCCTAAGAGTTCTGGCCGCTACATTCCTCCACATCTGCGCAAGCAGTTGGAGGCTAAACCTTCTGAAGGTAAAGAAGTTTTTCTTAGTTTTAATTAGTATAGAATGATCGAATGCCCATAGATAATTTAACAGCTGCATTTAAACTTTTATAATAATGTTTTAATTATTTTGTGAATCCATGAATCTGGTGTTTAAAACATTAAATATAAATGTTATATTGGAATGGATTTTAATCAATTAAATTTTTAAACTTATCACAGGACTGCATGTAGGGTAAATGATAAAAATAAACCAGTATCAGTTGGTATTATTATTATTATTTAATAGGGAAATTTAAATGTCTAGCATAGATAAACATACATTTTAAATATATTTTAAAAAGTAGTAAATATTAAAGGTCTATTAAAACGTATCAAAAATATATAACGGTATATTGAATTTTTTTCAACTGATCTGAAATCTGACGCCCGGACCTTAAAGGTTGTAGCGCCGTTTGTATGTCTACCGTACGATGTTTTACTTTGGACGGGCAAGTTTTAACTGTATACAGAAAAAAAACTCTGTGAGTTTGCACGTTCAGTGATGGAGATGGCATGCTTGACTATATTAAAATTATATATCTTTTTTTTATTAGTTTATAATCACTACAATATTTGATGTTCAAACCAAGAATCACCTGGTTCAATAAAGTATATATAATAAATTATAACCAACAGAACAGTCAATAATCTCCAAAAATTGCGTCAAGTAATACTTGAACGCTCCTATACACGCCAGCTGCTGCATACTTCTTTTTTTGCAATAGTGTAACCCTCAGATTCAGCGATAATATGACTCGCATATGTCAAACAAACGTTTTGACATATACGTGCCATACTTAGCGCTAAGTATCGACTCTAAAATTTACCAAAAGCTATATTCCTAGCATATACTACAGTTAACATATTATGTACCATCAGCAAGAAATGGCTAATGTACTAACATAACCCCTCGGCACGTAAGTGTAGCGGCGACGAAACCGTGAAGGAGGAAATTTCGATAAAGTCTAATTTCAAAAGGATATTTCGATAATTTTATTAATAAATACAATGTTAATATGTTCTTGCTGAGATTAAAGTGAAATATCCAAGCGGATGTCAAAGTTAGATAAACGTTCATCGCGTTTGCTTTGTATCAACTAAAAATTACGAACTCGTAAAACTTAACGCGCTTTAATGGCAGAGTACAGCGCTTACTGTCTGCCCCTCCTATGCCTTTTCGACTAAGCACTAACGATCACCGCTGGACTTACGTGCCGAGAGATACTCATAGAGTTGGAAATTGCAGGAGAAGGGTCTAAGCGTCAAAGCTTAGACAGTGAGGGGTCGGACAGCCGTTCATCATACGGAGGCAACTCTAGAACGTACGACCGTGGTGGTCGGCGCGACGACCGCGAACGTGACCGCGACCATGAGAACGATCGCGGCTACGATCAGCGATACCCGCGCACTAACCGCGGTAAGATCTGCTAGTTGGTTAAAATCTTGATAGATAAATAGTTGGTTAAACTCTTGATAGATAAAATAGTTGGCTAAACTCTTGATAGATAAAATAGTTGGTTAAACTCTTGATAGATAAATAGTTGATTACATTCTTGATACATAGAATAGTTGGTTAAACTCTTGATAGATAAAATAGTTAGCTAAACTCTTGATAGATAAAATAGTTGGCTAAACTCTTGATAGGTAAATAGTTGATTACACTCTTGATACATAGAATAGTTGGTTAAACTCTTGATAGATAAAATAGTTGGCTAAACTCTTGATAGATAAAATAGTTGGCTAAACTCTTGATAGGTAAATAGTTGATTACACTCTTGATACATAAAATAGTTGGCTAAACTATTAATAGATAAAATAAATTTATTATGATAACTTTTACATTGTAATTGCGTCAAATAATGAAATTCTATTTAAAATCACATAGAAAAGTCGTATAAAAAGTTTCTCATAAAATGTGTATCATTATAGACTGAAATTTAAATAACATTTTGTATATTAAAAAAAAACAAATATTTTATTTACAATCAAGTATAGTATGTACAAATTTCTTAACCTACAAATAATAATAAAAATATTTTAAAAAGAAAATCAAAACAAATATAAATATATGTGTATTATATAAGTATACGTCATGTTGTTATATATCTGACCGCTGACGTCAGTACTAAGTGTCGTCAAGGTAATGGACGTAAAAGAAATTGTCGTTACTTTGGTGAAATAAATGGATCAGTCACGATATATGTCAGAACTATATAGCTTTATTTTACACACATATTGTATATGTCAATAACTAATTCATAGACATAGACATATCATTTATTACAAACAAAAAACACACATAAACACACAAAATAACAATAATTTAATGAGAGATATAAAAAAAAATCCCTTTTCTCATTCGGTTCGTTTCAAGTTTGTAATGCGTGTGTGCTGTGGCTGTAATGGGCCTTGACTCAGCCTTATGCTGAGGAGCAGAATGTTCCACAGCGCTGGTCATTCTGCCAGACCACAGCAGCTAGTTTGCGCCTCAGTCGCAAAAAAAGAATGAAAAGGAATGTTCAGCTGATTTTGTGATATGTCTTCCTTCTTGCGGTTAGAGTCTTGGCTATCTGGCTGGCGGTAGCGGTTGCGTTCTTTAGTGCGCATCCTATCTGTCCAGGTAATATCCTGGATTTTAAGAAGCGTAATTTTTAATTTTTCGTTTTTAAATAAGTCTACCTGACATACTTTTTTTATTGCCAGACATTTTTCACATTGCTAACTATGTGCCAGACGCGATTTTAAGTTTTTTTTTATAAAAATTTCAAAGTATTTTAGAATGTCTGTAATTTTAATATTATGTTATTTAAATATAAGAAAAACTAAAATGAATTTGCCAGACATTAATTCGATTGTTAAGCCTTGAATTAAAATGAAAAAGTCATGAAATGTATTGCAGTCTATGATGAAGCATTGCATTTTGAGAAGCGTAATTTTTAATTTTTCGTTTTTAAATAAGTCTACCTGACATACTTTTTTTATTGCCAGACATTTTTCACATTGCTAACTATGTGCCAGACGCGATTTTAAGTTTTTTTTTATAAAAATTTCAAAGTATTTTAGAATGTCTGTAATTTTAATATTATGATATTTAAATATAAGAAAAACTAAAAATGAATTTGCCAGACATTAATTCGATTGTTAAGCCTTGAATTAAAATGAAAAAGTCATGAAATGTATTGCAGTCTATGATGAAGCATTGCATTTTGAGAAGCGTAATTTTTAATTTTTCGTTTTTAATTAAGTCTACCTGACATACTTTTTTTATTGCCAGACATTTTTCACATTGCTAACTATGTGCCAGACGCGATTTTAAGTTTTTTTTTATAAAAATTTCAAAGTATTTTAGAATGTCTGTAATTTTAATATTATGATATTTAAATATAAGAAAAACTAAAAATGAATTTGCCAGACATTAATTCGATTGTTAAGCCTTGAATTAAAATGAAAAAGTCATGAAATGTATTGCAGTCTATGATGAAGCATTGCATTTTGAGAAGCGTAATTTTTAATTTTTCGTTTTTAAATAAGTCTACCTGACATACTTTTTTATTGCCAGACATTTTTCACATTGCTAACTATGTGCCAGACGCGATTTTAAGTTTTTTTTTATAAAAATTTCAAAGTATTTTAGAATGTCTGTAATTTTAATATTATGATATTTAAATATAAGAAAAACTAAAAATGAATTTGCCAGACATTAATTCGATTGTTAAGCCTTGAATTAAAATGAAAAAGTCATGAAATGTATTGCAGTCTATGATGAAGCATTGCATTTTGAGAAGCGTAATTTTTAATTTTTCGTTTTTAAATATGTCTACCTGACATACTTTTTTTATTGCCAGACATTTTTCACATTGCTAACTATGTGCCAGACGCGATTTTAAGTTTTTTTTATAAAAATTTCAAAGTATTTTAGAATGTCTGTAATTTTAATATTATGATATTTAAATATAAGAAAAACTAAAAATGAATTTGCCAGACATTAATTCGATTGTTAAGCCTTGAATTAAAATGAAAAAGTCATGAAATGTATTGCAGTCTATGATGAAGCATTGCATTTTGAGAAGCGTAATTTTTAATTTTTCGTTTTTAAATATGTCTACCTGACATACTTTTTTATTGCCAGACATTTTTCACATTGCTAACTATGTGCCAGACGCGATTTTAAGTTTTTTTTTATAAAAATTTCAAAGTATTTTAGAATGTCTGTAATTTTAATATTATGATATTTAAATATAAGAAAAACTAAAAATGAATTTGCCAGACATTAATTCGATTGTTAAGCCTTGAATTAAAATGAAAAAGTCATGAAATGTATTGCAGTCTATGATGAAGCATTGCATTTTGAGAAGCGTAATTTTTAATTTTTCGTTTTTAAATAAGTCTACCTGACATACTTTTTTTATTGCCAGACATTTTTCACATTGCTAACTATGTGCCAGACGCGATTTTAAGTTTTTTTTTATAAAAATTTCAAAGTATTTTAGAATGTCTGTAATTTTAATATTATGATATTTAAATATAAGAAAAACTAAAAATGAATTTGCCAGACATTAATTCGATTGTTAAGCCTTGAATTAAAATGAAAAAGTCATGAAATGTATTGCAGTCTATGATGAAGCATTGCATTTTGAGAAGCGTAATTTTTAATTTTTCGTTTTTAAATAAGTCTACCTGACATACTTTTTTTATTGCCAGACATTTTTCACATTGCTAACTATGTGCCAGACGCGATTTTAAGTTTTTTTTTATAAAAATTTCAAAGTATTTTAGAATGTCTGTAATTTTAATATTATGATATTTAAATATAAGAAAAACTAAAAATGAATTTGCCAGACATTAATTCGATTGTTAAGCCTTGAATTAAAATGAAAAAGTCATGAAATGTATTGCAGTCTATGATGAAGCATTGCATTTTGAGAAGCGTAATTTTTAATTTTTCGTTTTTAAATAAGTCTACCTGACATACTTTTTTTATTGCCAGACATTTTTCACATTGCTAACTATGTGCCAGACGCGATTTTAAGTTTTTTTTTATAAAAATTTCAAAGTATTTTAGAATGTCTGTAATTTTAATATTATGATATTTAAATATAAGAAAAACTAAAAATGAATTTGCCAGACATTAATTCGATTGTTAAGCCTTGAATTAAAATGAAAAAGTCATGAAATGTATTGCAGTCTATGATGAAGCATTGCATTTTGAGAAGCGTAATTTTTAATTTTTCGTTTTTAAATAAGTCTACCTGACATACTTTTTTTATTGCCAGACATTTTTCACATTGCTAACTATGTGCCAGACGCGATTTTAAGTTTTTTTTTATAAAAATTTCAAAGTATTTTAGAATGTCTGTAATTTTAATATTATGATATTTAAATATAAGAAAAACTAAAAATGAATTTGCCAGACATTAATTCGATTGTTAAGCCTTGAATTAAAATGAAAAAGTCATGAAATGTATTGCAGTCTATGATGAAGCATTGCATTTTGAGAAGCGTAATTTTTAATTTTTCGTTTTTAAATAAGTCTACCTGACATACTTTTTTATTGCCAGACATTTTTCACATTGCTAACTATGTGCCAGACGCGATTTTAAGTTTTTTTTTTATAAAAATTTCAAAGTATTTTAGAATGTCTGTAATTTTAATATTATGATATTTAAATATAAGAAAAACTAAAAATGAATTTGCCAGACATTAATTCGATTGTTAAGCCTTGAATTAAAATGAAAAAGTCATGAAATGTATTGCAGTCTATGATGAAGCATTGCATTTTGAGAAGCGTAATTTTTAATTTTTCGTTTTTAAATAAGTCTACCTGACATACTTTTTTTATTGCCAGACATTTTTCACATTGCTAACTATGTGCCAGACGCGATTTTAAGTTTTTTTTTATAAAAATTTCAAAGTATTTTAGAATGTCTGTAATTTTAATATTATGATATTTAAATATAAGAAAAACTAAAAATGAATTTGCCAGACATTAATTCGATTGTTAAGCCTTGAATTAAAATGAAAAAGTCATGAAATGTATTGCAGTCTATGATGAAGCATTGCATTTTGAGAAGCGTAATTTTTAATTTTTCGTTTTTAAATAAGTCTACCTGACATACTTTTTTATTGCCAGACATTTTTCACATTGCTAACTATGTGCCAGACGCGATTTTAAGTTTTTTTTTATAAAAATTTCAAAGTATTTTAGAATGTCTGTAATTTTAATATTATGATATTTAAATATAAGAAAAACTAAAAATGAATTTGCCAGACATTAATTCGATTGTTAAGCCTTGAATTAAAATGAAAAAGTCATGAAATGTATTGCAGTCTATGATGAAGCATTGCATTTTGAGAAGCGTAATTTTTAATTTTCGTTTTTAAATAAGTCTACCTGACATACTTTTTTTATTGCCAGACATTTTTCACATTGCTAACTATGTGCCAGACGCGATTTTAAGTTTTTTTTTATAAAAATTTCAAAGTATTTTAGAATGTCTGTAATTTTAATATTATGATATTTAAATATAAGAAAAACTAAAAATGAATTTGCCAGACATTAATTCGATTGTTAAGCCTTGAATTAAAATGAAAAAGTCATGAAATGTATTGCAGTCTATGATGAAGCATTGCATTTTGAGAAGCGTAATTTTTAATTTTTCGTTTTTAAATAAGTCTACCTGACATACTTTTTTTATTGCCAGACATTTTTCACATTGCTAACTATGTGCCAGACGCGATTTTAAGTTTTTTTTATAAAAATTTCAAAGTATTTTAGAATGTCTGTAATTTTAATATTATGATATTTAAATATAAGAAAAACTAAAAATGAATTTGCCAGACATTAATTCGATTGTTAAGCCTTGAATTAAAATGAAAAAGTCATGAAATGTATTGCAGTCTATGATGAAGCATTGCATTTTGAGAAGCGTAATTTTTAATTTTTCGTTTTTAAATAAGTCTACCTGACATACTTTTTTTATTGCCAGACATTTTTCACATTGCTAACTATGTGCCAGACGCGATTTTAAGTTTTTTTTTATAAAAATTTCAAAGTATTTTAGAATGTCTGTAATTTTAATATTATGATATTTAAATATAAGAAAAACTAAAAATGAATTTGCCAGACATTAATTCGATTGTTAAGCCTTGAATTAAAATGAAAAAGTCATGAAATGTATTGCAGTCTATGATGAAGCATTGCATTTTGAGAAGCGTAATTTTTAATTTTTCGTTTTTAAATATGTCTACCTGACATACTTTTTTTATTGCCAGACATTTTTCACATTGCTAACTATGTGCCAGACGCGATTTTAAGTTTTTTTTTATAAAAATTTCAAAGCATTTTAGAATGTCTGTAATTTTAATATTATGTTATTTAAATATGAGAAAAACTAAAAATGAATTTGCCAGACATTAATTCGATTGTTAAGCCTTGAATTAAAATGTAAAAGTCATGACAAGTCTTTCAGTATAATGCTAGTAGTTCGAGAGAGACAGTGTGCCAGCAGAAGTGAATATTAACGTTGTGCATTTTTGATATTTTGGAATGGTAAGGGAATAATTTTGCTATCTAATATTATAAAAGTTACTATCATTTATGTGGTAGAATACAATATTTATTTATTGCGCTATCGTACACAAATATGACAATTTATATTACATTAAATACGCCGCGCCAGCTGTTTACTCTCCATCCGTCGTCAGTCTGACCAAATCGTTAATAATAAAGCTTTAGACGTTTCGCAAAATTAAACCTTGAAGTATCGACTTAAGGTCCAATTCCACATGTATCAATGTATCTGAGGAAAGAGACAAATGAATTAAAACCGTAACTATATAACACGAAGGTTCATAATCCTTAAAAAAAACATCCGTCTTATAAATTTGTCCTGACTCGAGTTTAACATTTTTTTACCCATTCCAAAAAAAGTGGACAACGCCGCTAAAGAATCTTATATTTGCGACTAAAATTTGACTTTAATTGAAGACTCTTTAGCGGAGGAGGGATATCATTCCAACACTTCGATTGTTCGTACGACCTCATATGGAATACTGCTCACATCTCTGGGCCGGTGCTCCCAAATACCAGGTTCTTCCTTTTGACCAAATTCAGCGAAGGGCTTGTCGAATTGTCAATCTCCAATGTCTTACTGATCGGCTTGATTCTCTCTCGCTACGCAGAGACATTGCATCTCTTTGCGTTTTTTACAAAGTATACTACGGAAGAATTGTTTGGGTTAATCCCTCCTGCCTCTTTTCAACACCGTACGAGCCGTACGAGCTCTAAATTTCACCAACATCATCTTGATGGTTGGAGGTCTTCCACAGTCCGTTTCACAAGGTATTTTCTTTTGCGAACTAGCGAACTGTGGAATCGACTCCGGGTGGGTCTTCAGAGATACGTAAATGGGTGTCTATGGGCTGCGAAGACTGCCCTTTTTGCTCGTTTGCCCCCTATTATATAAAAGGAAATTCAAAGGAGTAATACAGCTACTGATAAAACAACAACGATAAAATTCCAGGTCGAGAATCCAGTCAGAATGGCGATGCAGAGCGATTCGAGAACGATCGCTGGACATCAGAGCGCAGTCGCGGATCACGTGACATTCGCGAATCACGCGACATTCGCGAGCCACGAGAGCCGCGAGAGCCGACGAGGGACGTTAGGAAGGACGAGGACTTCAACGAGCCGCCTCAGCCCAGGAACGATCGTTGGAAGGAGCCCGAGCCGAGGGAGGAACGCTCCAACTCACGCTGGCCCTCTGACGACGTCCGACGCACTGCATCTCGCAGGGGCGAGGTTCACTCGGTAATTCTATTATTATTATTATTATTAATTTTTTAGAGCAGTGTTGGCCTAGTGGCTTCAGCGTGCGACTCTCATCCCTGAGGTCGTAGGTTTGATCCCCGGCTGTGCACCAATGGACTTTCTTTCTATGTGCGCATTAAACATTCGCTCGAACGGTGAAGGAAAATATCGTGAGGAAACCGACATGTCTTAGACCCAAAATGTCGACGACGTGTGTCAGGCACTGAAAACTGATCACCTACTTACTGATCACCTATTAGATTGAAAAATGATCATGAAACTGATTCCAAAATTTGAGGCCCAGACCTAAAAAGGTTGTAGCGCCACTGATTTATTTTATGTCTTTCTATGTGCGCATTTAACATTAAGAGAAAGCATTGTGGGGTGCGGGGTGCCTTTCTCGAACCTAATTCGCTGTTTTGCTGATGATTTTTCTTTTTTTCCAACAAATTTCTTGTAATTTTATTTTATTGTGTGCTTATCTTGTATATATGTTTTAATTATATTTTATATTTAACTTCTATTTTTTGTAAAACTTATGTTTACTTTAATTGTCATACATTTTAGATGGAATATGTAAAATAATCAGTAGATTTAGTACTATGTATGATGTCGTAAACTTAATAAATAAATAAACATTCGCTCGAACGGTGAAGGAAAACATCGTGAGGAAACCGGCTTGCCTTAGACCCAAAAAGTCAACTGTTAGTTAGGCACAGAAGGCTGATCACCTACTTTCCTATTAGATTTAAAAATGATCCTGAAACAAATTCAGAAATCTGAGGCCAAGACCTAAAGTATAGTAAAACGTTTCGTGACAACCTAGTGACTCTTTATACCTAAAAGTTACCATTATGTGGTGTAAGGAACTGGGAAGTCGAAAATAATATTAACAATAACGCGTAATTGCCCCGCATCGTAACGTTTTACAAAAGGACCCCCCCCAAATTCGTTACGTAATACTTTGACGCTTACTAATGTCCTTTTTTGTAAAATAGCGCTCCTTTGTGTGTTTTAGTTTGTTGACTTATTGTTTTTCAATTCAGAACGACTGGACAGTACCACTACCTCGCGACGAGCGGCAGGAGTTGGAGCTGTTTGGGACGGGCAACACTGGCATCAACTTCTCCAAGTACGAGGATATACCGGTGGAGGCCAGCGGCGAGAACGTGCCGGATTTCATTACAAGCGTACGTATATATTTATTTATTTACATCTTATAAAACTTACATAAGTTATTAGGCATCGGTATTATACTTATTCTGTGAAGGGCATCGAAGTTTTTGAAGCAATTAAAAGGCCGGCTACGTACTCGCCTTCTGGCAGTGTGTGGTGACAATTGAACTTTGGGTTAAACTATATATTATTTATAACGATATTGATTAACAGAAATGTAAATGTGAAATGAGTCTAGTTTGTTATCGAAATAACTTCACCGGCAAGATAGTCAATATGACTCGGGATGTGAATTACATTATGGGTAGGAAATTAAACACTCCTTGTTACTTGATTCACTATAGTCCACTTCTTCGGTGATTATACATATACTGTATCCCTTCCAAGTTAAAAGAAAGAATTCTCGTGCGCATGTGCATGTGCCAGCCACAACTTTTATATTCTATCCCTACTCTGACTCGAACATCCCACTTCGGGCAGATGTTCGAACCAGTCAAATGAGCAACTATGGCACATGCGCGCTTGTAGCAAGATTTTTAATAATATGGTTATATATTTCATACAAAATATAATTTAATTAAATACTAAAAATCTAACGATGTGAACTTAATATTAATTTCATTTTGTCCTTTATTCATTCACACTTCATAACATTTTTACAGTATGGAAAATTAAAAGCATTACACAGTGCGACCTTATTGCTAATAAGCAATCGCTTCCAGACAACCCTATTATAAAGATATGGGGATATGTTCACTAATGTTTAATTCTTTGTGTAACCCCGATCAGTTTAGAAGATACTTTCCAATTGGCTGTCATACAATGTTGGGCTAATTAAAGTCATTAATATAGTGTTACACTCTGATTTTAATTCCGTAGAATTCTGACAGCTATCATTTTTTGACATGACATTTTTCAATTTCAATACGAGTCTACATCATTTTATTTGTTAGAGAATGTATCCATTTTATTAAGTGCGGTTCTCCCCTTAAAAGAGGTTTTACGGCGAGTGATAATTACGTCCGTTTTCATCACAAACAGTAAAAAACGCACAAGTAAAGATAACATTTTATTTAATTAAAAAGGATAACTAAATCTAGAATTAGTAGGCAGTGATGCCAGCTTAAAAATAAAATAAAGTAATTTATGTAAATTTTATATATTGTTCGTGATATTTGTTATTTTTGTCACTTGAGTAAGTAAAATTTAGATTAATTTTTTGTAGGTAAAACATAAAAAATACGTAGCCTTTTTTTTATTGCCCTTTAATGGGTAAATTTGTACCTTTTTCGATGGAGAACTTTTTTATTAGCAACAATTATGAAATGTCAGAACTCGAAATGAAAAATCAGAGTTTAGTTATGTTACATTATTATGTAATTAATTAAACAACACACCTTCCGAAGACCCATTCCAAATCCTTTTACTCGTCTCTCAATGCTATTTCCTATCTATCCCTGTTGTCTCATTTATTTTTTTAGGTTGTGTTTTGGTATTATAGTTTACGTATTAAAAGAGAGTGGGAAAAAGGAAGATATGTTAGGAATTTAATTTTCATTAAAATAATTGTCATTAAAAGTGTCGAAAACGAATACAAATTTTAATTTCAATAAATTATTCTGCAAAAGAAACTAATATTTCATAAATTCTCTTTTAGTATAGCGCCTGGGGGTTTTCACCTCGGATTAGAGTTACAGTGAATGAATTAAGATGATCGATGTGGGATATTGTTTTTTAAACTATAAATTGTAATGTTTACCCAAAATTTTATTGTGCAAATTAAAAAAAAAAATTCTGAAAAATTAATGTTTGACCATATATTTTCACTTTAAACAGTATTTTATTTTATTTATATGTTAAATCTTACCTGAGTAGACATATAGGAACATTTTTCAAATCTGTATGCACAGGTATCTTTGAACTGACACTCTATAGTTTAAAAAACAATATCCCACATCGATCATATTAATTCATTCACTGTAACTCTAATCCGAGGTTTTACGGTTTTGAATGCTCCGGGCACTCTACTATTTACGAAATAAATTTAAAAATATAATCTATAAGGTAATTCGCCCTTCCATTCCTCTCCCAATCGCTCTCTCCCTTTTCTTCGACAAAAACGCTGCACATCTTCGTGACGTTTCCGTAAAAATTTACCCTCATCCGCCTAAAGAAGTTTCACTTCAATAATGAAACATTTTCAGTTTGAGGATGTTAACCTGACGGAAATAATGCGGTCGAACATAGCGTCCGCCCGATACGACAAGCCGACCCCGGTGCAGAAGTACGCGATCCCTATAGTGCTGGGGCGGCGTGACGTCATGGCCTGTGCGCAGACCGGCTCCGGGAAGACGGCCGCCTTCCTCGTGCCCATCCTCAACCAGATTTACGAGGCCGGACCTGTTAAGAATATGGGGTGAGTGCTGAGTTTAAAAAAGTCATATAAATTGTTACTTTATTGTTTTAATATAACAGAGAATACGATAGGTACAATCAGTTTATCAAAAGCCATCAAAAGGAACTCCGTAAAGAGTATAAACCAACCACAGACTATAAATAATATAAATGTGTTAAATTTTATGGAGGGAGCGTTCAAGTATTACGTAACGCAATTTTTGGAGATTATTGACCCCCCCACCTGTAAGGCGCCGTAACGTTTTTCTGTACCCAATAGTTAAACGTTTCATGACCACCTAGTGACTCTTTATACCTAAAAGTTACCATTATGTGGTGTAAAGTACTGGAAAGTCGAAAATAATATTAACAATATCGCGTAATTCAATCCCCGCCCCGCATCGTAACGTTTTACAAAGGGACCCCAAAAAAATTCGTTACGTAATACTTGAACGCCTTCCAGTCAAGAGATAAAGATTTAACCTGCTGCTGAATTTTACTACCTCCGTATCATTGAGACGTCCGTTGTTACAACTGAGCGTTTCTTAAGGCGATTTTTGCCGCACATTTTTGCACTACGTGGAACGAGCTACCCATTGAAGTATTTCCGAACCCATTCGACTTATGGTCCTTTAAGAAAAGAGCGTACCAATTCTTGAAAGGCCGGCAACGCACTTGCTAGCCTTCTGGCAATGTAAGTGTCCATGCGGCGGTATCACTTAACATTAGGCGAGCCTCCTGCCTGTTTGCCTCGTATTACATAAAAAAATCAAAATTGGTTCAGTAGTTTTTAAGATTGAAAACAAATAGTGTGTATTATACTAACTTAATTTTGTGTTTTATAATAAGACCTTCTAGAAATTCTTCTCTATTTTTGTCCAATCTATCCCCGTTATATATAAATAAATAAAATTCCAGCGCGGTCCGAAGAACCGGCCACAAGCAGTACCCGCTAGGTCTGGTGCTGGCACCGACTCGTGAACTGGCAACACAGATCTATGATGAAGCCAGAAAGTTCGCCTATCGCTCCCGAGTTAGGCCCTGTGTTGTGTGAGTATTATATTATATAATTTTTCTACAAACAAATAAACAAAAAACTGATTAAGTGATTTGCTTTTAAAATTGTGTAATTTATTCCTTTATTGATATTTAAAAAAAACTGGTGGTGCTACTCCTACCTATTTAAGTCTAGGCCTCAGATTTCTGTTTCATATTCATTTGTTAATCTAATATGAACATTTTTTATGTTCATACAAGTATCGTACAAATCGGTTTGAACTGTTTCGAGTGCGAGATGTTTCATTCGAGTTAAGTCATTACTAGGTTATTGTCAATACAATAAAATCCAATGATTTTTGTCTCAAAAATGACTCAAAAATCCTTTTAATTTTGAGGCCGCCGATAATATTAAATTAATTGAACTTTTTAGAAGTTACGAGTGTGTCTGGAACACGAAAAAAAATGTGAGCCGTCACGGGACGCCTGGCAGATGTGAAACATCGACATTATTTTGTAAAAGTAATATGCAGAAAAGAACAGATTGTGATAGGAAATAAATAAGTCATAATGATAAAATAAAATATTTCGATTTTTTTTCCAGATAACGATGACTATTTATTGAATAATCATTTATTTTAATTAAATACAAAAATTTACGAATTTATTTCGAATCGTGACTACTTAATTCGTTTAATCATTGACATCGAAATACACACACCGTACACACTACTGCATATATATACCATCATATAGCGTGGCGACGTCGCCACAGCATGCGTCGCCACGCCACAAATCGGTTTTAAGTGCGGCTATAGATGTTTCACATCAAAAATAAATTGTAAACACCCATTTTTTTACCCAAAATCTTTTTTTTCCGTTTCCGTTTAATTAATTCTTGTATTAATAATTAAAACACCGTCACGCACTACACTCATGGTAGCAACTGGCACAAAACCTCGAAATACGATTATTGCTTTTGGAATTCTGTTTACACGGACACAATAAACTTGCCATTTCGAGGCAATTGTCGCCAAAGTGGAAGAGCAATTGCTGTGAATTTTTAGACGAAGAAATTTTTTTATATTCATTCGATAATCGTACCTTTGAGACGAGAAATTCTCTCCGTCTAAATGGGCCTTATGGCAAGCCGGTTTCCTCACCATTCGAGCGAATGTATGTTAAATACGCACATAGAAAGTCCATTGGTACACAGCCGGGGATCGAACCTACGACCTCAGAGATGAGAGTCGGCACGCTGAAGCCACTAGGCCTGTTCTTATGCTCTGCCCTTATTGAAATTCCAGTTACGGCGGTTCCCCAATCTACGAGCAGTTCCGCGAACTTGACCGCGGCTGCCACCTCCTAGTGGCGACTCCGGGCCGTTTAGTCGATATGTTAGCCCGCGGCCGGGTCGCCCTGGACCACTGCCGCCATCTGGTGCTGGACGAGGCCGATCGGATGCTGGACATGGGTTTCGAGCCCCAGATAAGAAAGATCGTCGAGTGCCACACGATGCCCAAGACGGGTGAACGGCAGACGTTGATGTTCTCCGCCACCTTCCCCAAGCAGATCCAGGTGCTCGCGCAGGACTTCCTCTATAATTATGTGTTCTTGGCTGTCGGTCGGGTTGGATCCACCTCGGAGAATATTACGCAGAAGGTGAGCTGACAATTTTTTCTTCTTCAAGTCATTTTTATGGTATTGTCTTTTATTAACATAATTTTGACACATTTAAAGAAAACACTTTTTTACCGGATTGAAGTTATGTATTATTTATTATAAACATATAATTATTTTACATAATTAAATGAATATAATGAATACAGGGACAATTAGTGAAAAAAAATCAGTGCCAGCCAGGTTGGTTCCTAGTAGGGATGCATCCGATACCTAAATATCGCCGATATTTCTATAAAAGTATCGGCATCGGTATCGTATCGGCAAAAAGGCGTATCGATGGATCCCTAGTTCCTAGTATATTGGAACTAGCTGACGGCAAATATTATTTTTCTATAGAAAGGTTATTAGAGTACATTACATAATGAAGGTAGACGGTTGAAGATTATATGTATTTTGATTGCCTTATCATAATAATGAAAAAAAAAAATACGTTTGCAAATAAATGTGAATACAAGATTACGGCCTATTCTCCTATCGAATAAACACAACATCAAAATTGGTCAAGCAGTTTCGGAGGAATTAGTTACAAATACTAACACGAATGTTTTAATTTAAATTATAAAATCTATATTAATAATTATTTTTTGTATTCTAAAATAAGTATACAATTTTGTATGAAAAAAATGAATTTTCAGGTCGTCTGGGTCGAAGAGCAGGACAAAAGGTCGTTTTTGTTGGATCTGTTGAATGCTTCCAACCTCTTGCAGCGCGAGCCCTCTGAGGACGACCAACTCACCCTCGTCTTCGTCGAGACTAAGAAAGGTATATTTGTTAACTTAAGAACAAAGAGCAGTGTTGGCCTAGTGGCTTCAGCGTGTGACTCTCATCCCTGAGGTCGTAGGTTCGATCCCCGGCTGCGCCAATAGACTTTCTATGTGCGCATTTAACATTCGCTCGAACGGTGAAGGAAAACATCGTGAGGAAACCGTCATGTCTTAGACCAACGAAGTCGACGGCGTGTGTCAGGCACTGCAGGCTGATCACCTACTTGTCTATTAGATTGACAAATGAGCATGAAACAGATTCCAAAATCTGAGGCCCAGATCTAAAGAGGTTGTACCGCCTCAGATTTTTTTTTTCTCTAAAGTCGAGATAAAAGTTAAGTTAGGTATTCTGATTAAGGGAACAAAATCAAAATGAGTTCCAGAGTTCTGAGGTACCACGATTTTCTCTAGGGAACAAGTAGTCAAAAGTCAAAATCATTTATTCGTGTAGGTAACACAATGTACACTTATGAACGTAAAAAAAAAATACATCAAGTGCTTCTAATTTTACATTTACTGCCAGTTCTCAAATCAAGGGCGTAGAACGGAAGAGAAGAACTGGCAATAAACTCTCCGCCACTCTTTAATCGCCAAGTTTTTTGTTTTACACAATGTTTGTAAGGAGCCACCTCACCACCATAGTTAATGTTGACAGAGGGAAATTATATGCGCGAAGTCTGTTTATTAGTCACCAAACACTATTCACAATAATAACACAGCACACTAAAGGGGGCGTCCATAAATTACGTGAGGTGTTTTTTTAAATTTTCTGTACCTCCCTCCCCCCCTGGTGAGATGTCGTGAGATTTTATTCAACCCCCTTCCCCAACCCCCAATCTCACGTGAGATTTTTCAAAATGTGGGTTTCTTACGTAAACGCGTCGGATTATTATTGTAAAAAGAAAAAAAATTGCTTCGTCCTTTTATTTACGACTAAAACATAAGTGAAATGTTGAGCGTTTAGGTATGGAGTTAACGGGAAGTTGCAGAGATGGTCTTTAGGGTCAACCGTTTTCCTAAGTTTTTTTTTTCAATCAGAAAAAGAATTGCGTGATATTTGCCGAGACCCCCCTCTCTCCAACGTAAGGTTAAATGAGATTTGACTCGACCCCCTCCCCCCCTTAAACACCTCACGTAATTTATGGACGCCCCCAAAGGGGTCGTTCAAGTATTACGTAAGCACTTTAGGGAGAGGGGGGGTCTTTGATTTTCTTATTTGGTGATTACGTCAACAGTAAAATTTTTTTTCACATATTACCCACACATTGTCTATAAATAGTACGTTTACTTTTAATTGAAAGTAAAAGAATGTGGGAGGAAAATCGTTAGCGCGGACACAGATTTTACGTTAGGTAGGCTTATATCCAAATATATATGCATCATTATTATTATTGAACGAACTGTTACACAGAACAATAATAAGATCTTTTTAAAAAAAAAAGATTTAATGAATTCAATTACAAATATATTGATTTAGAAATACAAAGGAAATAGTATTAAAAATTAGCACGTCTGATCGGACAGGAGCTAGGAGATCGACTGACTGGATGGGAAAATGAGAGGTTGTTTGTGCATGGGAAGAAATGATGACGAGGATAGGGCTTAGGGTATGTCAGCAAAGTAGGATGCATTGGGGAGTCGTAACAGAACGTAGCGTCAGTAAATCGAATCTTTGTTTATTATAAATTGATGAAATATTTCCAGGTGCGGATCAACTGGAAGAGTTTTTGGACCGCGATGGCTACCCAGTGACGTCCATCCACGGAGATCGCTCTCAACGCGAAAGAGAGGACGCCCTGCGCAGATTTCGAACCGGACAGACTCCGATACTCGTGGCTACTGCTGTCGCCGCTAGAGGTCGCTTTTTCTTTCCTTAAAATAATGATACAATAAATATATTTGTTAGTACTAAAGGCTGAATGCAACGAGCGGCCCTTATTAGTAATCTAAAAGTAGAAGTGTATATGTACTGTAAACGAGGTTTCAATAACGCGATTTCTGCCCATATAACGCGGTACTCACCCACTATAACTCGGAAATTTAAATTTATATTGATTTGTGTAGTCCATAATTAGTTTTGCGTACCTTTGCGCCTGTTTCAATTGTGTTGTTATAAAATTAAAATTTTTAAATTGTACAAAAAAACACGTGTAACGCGATGTCCTATTACTCGGTCCCAGTCTAACGCGTTATAGAGGGTATTACTGTACAATCTTAAGCATAAAAATATATAAAGCAATTTAATAAATTTATGTTTAAAAGTCCGTTATGTCTTATAATATCGTCATGATCAAAGAACAATGTCGGATTAAAAACTAAATAACATCTACTTTTTATCATATTAGGATACTACATTTACTAAATATTACGGCTACATTAAAAAAACCATGTGTTTTAAATTTCAAATTAATCAGTCGGTAAAGTGACGGATTTGATAGAAGCATGTGATTTTTCTAGAAAACTGTGTAATTTAATGTTATTATTTTTATTTTGTTTCAAAACAAACCCTTTTGTTTGCTTTTATGCCAATTTTCATAATAACAGAATATGAATTAAAATAGTTACGACAAAAAATAACATTATATTATTTTTAAATGGCTGCCCTATAAAGTTTACTATTGGTCAGATCCGTCACTATTCTACGACTATGACGATTCGAAAGTATTTGTAACAAAATTTTCGCTTATGTTCAATACGTGCGAACAATATTATCTTTAAGGAGAATTTTTATTTTCGTTACTTTAAAACAAACTTAACGATGCAATGCCGTAGGTCTGGACATCCCCCACGTACGTCACGTGATCAACTTCGACTTACCCTCGGACGTGGAAGAGTACGTTCACCGTATCGGACGTACCGGACGTATGGGGAACCTCGGGGTTGCTACTTCGTTTTTCAACGACTCGAACCGGGGCCTCGCTAGGGACATGGTGGAACTGCTGGTTGAGGCTAAGCAGGATGTGCCAAAGTGAGTATACAAATGAAGATTTTTAATCGATTATTTTAAATTAATATGTTTTTTCTATATGGGGCCGTTTAATACGCAGATTATTTCAATTTATTCCTATCCCAACCCCCTCTTGTCATCAATAGTAAGCAAAGCTCTCAAAAATAATAGTACATGAACCTATGAATTTTTTGTTGGATGAATAAAACATCATCGCTCCATGTCATTTACCTAGCTGTTTGATCAACTGGCTGAATATCTTTCAGGCCGCTAGTTAAGAGGCTAGGCTGTTAATTGAACGACTTATTAAACTAGTTGGCGGCGACATATATATATTTATATAAATGCTAGCGTAGGGGAGTCATGCGACATCCCTGTTAACAATCGCACTGTAGTCCAACAATCAAGACTTCACAAAAGTTTATTATCTATTTTAACTAACTATTCTATATTTCGTATAGTTTAAGGCTTCAGATAATATAGAAGACATAGATTTTTTTGAACACTAATCTATATGATGTTTTTTAATTCTATGAAACAATTTCAGTTGGCTAACGAGCACGGCCGCGGATGGACGTGCGGGTGGCGGCGGTAGACGTGCCGGAAGTCGCTCCGGCGGAACACGGTTCGCCACCGGAAACGGCTTCGGGGCAAGGGACTTCCGAACGCAGTCAAGACAGCAGCCGAGGTCTGCGGGACCTTCCATGGGTAATGGTGAGTATGGCCCGGAGTCGTGAATCCCTTTGACACTCATCTTCACGGCATAGATCAAAAAAAAAGAAGCATTTTTGAAGTTATACTTCTTTTGGCGCGTTAGGGAAAAATTATGAGAGTAAATTTTTACGATGCGCGCGCAAACCGTCACAAAAAACCGACACCCTGAATATCTGTTCAAACGTCGGTAAAACAGTCTAGGCCGCTAGTTGGCGCTTGCTCTGTTTTATCGACGAGTTGCATTCTGTCATGGCGTAGTGTTTTCAGAGTCGTGTTTATTTAAACCAAAGTAATGATTTCTATACGAGAAAACCCGTTTCAATGTGATAAAAAACATAGTGTTTATTTTTATCGGAGTGTCATTTTGACAATTGACATTAGTTAAAATATTTAAGTATTTTAACCGACTTCGAAAAGGCTGAAGGAATCATATATTCCTTTTTTGGTTTGCTACGATAAATCGTGTTATTTGTATGTAATCTAGTGTCTATCGTTGTACTGAAAAGTATGAGCGTTATTCACTTGGTTCTGATAGTGAGCTATTCAGGTTTCGGATACGGCGGCGGCTCATATGGGGGCAACTATGGCGGCTCGTACGGCGGCGGCGGTGGCGGCGGCGGCGGTGGACCGGACTGGTGGGACTCTTAAGCCGATCAGACAACACCGCCCGTCCATAGGGTATGAGGTATGCTGCTATTAACGGGATTTTAAAATGTTGACAATTTCAGTTTCTTTTTTGTATATTTTTTATTATATATTATTTCATTGCAATTAAATACCTTGGTTTTTTTTTCATATAATATGGTAGCAGTATAATTTAAAGGTAAAAAATTGTATCGAGTTTTTTTTTCATTTAATAATTTTATTAAAAAAATTATTGTTTCATATATGGATTGAAAAAAATGTTTTCTTTTGTATAGAATCAATTTAAAAAATACTTTGTAGCCTATGTAAGCGGCATACCTATTAAAAATTCAAATTACCGTATTTATTTAATAGTTGAATGTTGGAGCCCTTAGTTCCTTTTTTTGAAGGGTCCAATGAATCATCAAACTTTGTTTTTGATTGTTGCTATGTAAATAGTATTTGCAAAGTTTGTATTAATTTTTCATTTATCTCAAATAAAATTCAATGTATTAAAATGGTCACAATCTTTTCATTGATGCGAAACTGTCAAGTGCCATTGTCAAAAATGGAATGACAGCGCTTTGACGCGCGAGATTTACGGACTTGCTATAAACGTCGTATTTGACATCTGTCAGCTGTCAAATTTAGAACATGACGGCCGAGTTCTGTTGTCAAAATATACAGTCTTTTATTTTGGGGCTTGAGACAAAATCACTTTAGGACAATCGTGACCCACTAACGATGAAAGAATTTGTTTGGGAATGACATTAGGTCACGTTTTTGTCACGTGACCACTATCATACAAATTAGTTTGACGTTAGTATCGAGTAGTGGTTTTGTCTCCTGCCCCTATTTCCTCAAAATCTACAACTCAAATGACTGGCTTTTGGTTACAGAACCCGGAATCCACTTGATTTCATTGACAATTACAATTGACAGTTTCGATTTTTTTTTCAAGTACTTCCGTTTTGCAATAGATGGCGCTAAACTTAAAACAGTTATCCAGATTTGCATCTAAATTCTAATAAAGTTCCCGAGGCGGTAAAATATGGAGGGCGGTGCGTCGCGATCGTTGAATCTCATTTGTAAACGATCCCGACTTTAAAATTAGTCTTTGGTCTGTTCTGAAACGTAATTGAGTGTTGTCAAAAATTTTGACAGCTCTTGACATGTTTTGGAACATGGACCGTACCTTTGTGAATCGCGATATTAGGCCAAGTTAATTCTGATGTAAAACGTTTTTCTTTCGATATTTTAAACGCTACTTAAATCAGTATTGTTTTAACCCAGACTGAGAAGTCTATTAAAGATAATTTGACAGAGAAAGTTAAAACAGATTACTGATTTAGTTTTTATTATCTGATTTCAATTATGTCTTAGCGACTGTCTATGTATAATGTCTTACTAAATCCAAGTGATATTTATAGAACATCAGAATTAGCAAATTAAATTTCTAAGCAATCATTTTGTCATTGATCGCGATTTGAAATTAGTCGATAAAGATAGATTTGATGTTTCTGTATCGTGTTCATTTTCTGTCTTCTGAAACACATTTTCCGAAAAATTTAAGCATTTATGCACCCTAGTAGTGTCTGTAGGGTTAGAATCGATACATTATCTAGTTAAATTTCGTCCGTAGAACATCTGTCACCGTGGTCTGTAATTTGAATGTGAATTTACAAATAAAAATAATGAAATTGAATTGTTTTTTATTTTATACTTCGTTCAAGTATTACGTCACGCAATTTTTGGAGATTCTTGTCACCACCAAAATGTTTACATACAGGCAACAACTAAATTCTCACCTACGAGAATTGCCAGTGATTTATCGCTAGGCGCTAATTTTCTGCGTCTGTTTACTCATCGACATTTTAGTAGGAAGATTCTTACTTACCAGAATCTCGACTAGTATAAACACGATCTCGTATGACAGTTTTTTATGTTCATACTAGTATCCCTGGCCCTGAGTGCGTTGCGGGCATTTTGGTATTGGATTCGCTCTTTTCTTGAAGGACCCTTAATCGAATTGGTTCGAAAATACTTTAGTGGGCAGCTGGTTCCACATAGTGGTAGTGCGCGGCAAAAACTGCGTTAAAAACCTCTCAGTTGTAGAACGATGGACGTCGAGGTGATATGGTGGCATTTCGTATTCTGCCTCGATGTCCGATGATGAAGACTGTATGTATTAATCCGAATACCTCTCTGATCTCCATGACAAATGCAGAAGATGCAGAGAGAGACCCCACATCTCTCGCAACGCATAATTCCCGGCTAAGCAGAGCACAATAATCTTAATGTTTACGATTTAAAATAATCAAAGTATGCTATTGCCTATTTCTTATGCCATATGTCGATATAAATACTCATACTATGAACGTCAATATTTTCAAATCATGGGCGTAGAGCGAGAAGAACTGGCAAGAAACTCTCCACTTTTAACCGTCAAGTTTTTTTTAGTTTGAAGTATTAATTTTATAATTTAAGTTATTACAATCTTCATTGTAGATTCCGCAAGATGCACGCACAGAACTGAAAATTATTCTTGCATTCAGATCTATTAATGTATATCAATGAAGGAATTTTGTTATTGCTGCGCTCTTTTGTTAAAAATTGTTATTGTTAAATTAATATGGAAATAACACATTTGTGATGAGATCGGTCAGAAAGGTTACTTGGAATGGCCCAGTGGGAAGAAAAAGAAGAACACTCCTACCAAAGACCTGGAAAGATGAAGAAAGAGATAGCGCGGAAAAATTGGAAAATAGTTGTAAGAGACAAGTGTAAGAATTTGGAGGGCTTCACTCGTATTAAATAGCCTTTATCTAAATGTATAAAACAAAGTCGTGTTAGTTACATCACTTATAACTCAAGATCGGCTGGACCGATGTTAGTTCTCTTTTTTGGTAGATTCTTCTCCGCTTTGAATAGCAGAATAAGTAATAAAATATCGGATAAGTTATCAAATAACAATAAATTAGTTAATTAATTTTACGAATGCAAACACCATGTGGTGCCATCTGTTGGCAAAATAACGCATAATTTTACATCGAATTCGTGTCAGTTCAAGAAATTCCGATCTTGAAGTGAATGAGGAGATGCATAACCAGGCTTTGATCTTGATCGAAGACATGTGCTACCTCATGAAAAAATGTGTATCAGAAAGTGATTTAACATGCAGTATCGCAATATTGGCGCTAGAGAGAAGAGGCCTAATGTGTAAATCTACCATTCCTCTTTCGCAATGGCAAGCAATAAAACATTTCTGTATTTGCAAAAAAGTTTTATTAATCTTATTACTTTAATGAAATTCTAAATTAAGTTAGTAAAGAAAGATCTATTATAGCATTGTTTAAACGACTTGATTTGGCAAACGCGTATCCGTTTTACAGTTAAACGTAATGTGTAAAAATAAATAAATCAGTGGCGCTACAACCTCTTTAAGTCTTCGCCTCAGATTTCTGAATCTGTATCATGATAATTTTAAAATCTAATAGGCAAGTCGGTGATCAGCCTCCAGTACCTGACACACGCCGTCGACTTTTTGGGTCTAAGACATGTCGGTTTCCTTACGATGTTTTCCTTCATCGTTCGAGCAAATGTTAAATGCGCACATAGAGAGAAAGTCCATTGGTGCACAGCCGGGGATCGAACCTACGACCTCAGGGATGAGAGTCGCACGCTGAAGCCACTAGGCCAACACTTCTCTCAAAATGTAATGTGTAATTAAATAAAAAATAAAACTTAGATTATCCCTACCCGCATCAGTTAATAATAAACCTACATTACAGAGCAATTAATATAAATAACATAAAACTATTGATGTCCAGCCGTGAGCGTCGCGCCACCAATAACTGATCAAAATCCTCCCTTTCAGATGTAATAAATTAATTGTTTTATTGTGTCATTACAAATTACTGTAGAATTGAGACATCCCGCTATCTTTTATTAGGCACGTGAGTCAAACTATCTATTTATAATATGCTAATGAACCCCAAAAACAAACATCGAATGTGTAACAATAAATATGTGATCGTTAAAACGAAAGAAACGTCCGTAATTTATCCACAAGTCACCTTTGAGAATTCCGTGGATGCCTTCGCGGCGGGGTCCCGCAGACGCGATATCCAAAGGCGCCACAAAAAATATTCAATAAGCCATTGGGCATTACATATCGTGGACATAAATTATATCTTTAGGTATAAGTGGGTCATACTAGGTATTTTAGGCTCATTCATAAACAATCAAATAGTTTTTATTACCTTATTATATTACAGTAAAAAGTTTTGAAAATCCAAAAGTGCACGCCTTATAGCGGTCATTCACATTTAAAAAAAAATTTCTAAAACAAAAACTCAAGTTTTTTAAAACAAAATAAATAAAAATGAATGATTGAAAAAAAATATATATAGTGGCGCCATAACTCTAAGATGAGGAAAAAAAATATACTAAAATAAATGTATATATACGTAGTCGGTCCCAAAGTTCTGTCATAAATGGAAATAATGATAAAAACAAAAGTACTGATCAGTTTGTAATGAGTGATATATCAATTCTTAGTACATTAATTAAGGAATAAAAAAAGCATAAAAATATTCGAAATAACCTCCCTCATTTTTAATACAGGCCCTTAAGCGTCGCGGCCAGTCGTCTATCGCAGCACGCACCATATTCGTGTCGATTTCAGTCACTGGTTTTTTTTAAAGATGACTTCAGATTCTCCAAATTTTCATGAGGTTTATCACAGACCTTCCTCTCTAAGCCCTGTCATAATTTTCGGGTCCAAAGGATTAAGGTCCGGACTGGAGGAAGGCCAATCCTCATGTCTAATTAAGACGATGTTTTGACGCTCAAACCAGGCTTTAGTGGTCTTGGCTTTGTATGCAGACGCAGAGTCCTGCTGGAACACGAAGTGATGTCCCGCAAATAGGGTGCTGGACATGTCTTTGACAAGGCGATACAAAACCGTCTCTTGGTACACTGTAGCACTGGTTTTGACCCCCTTTTCGAAAAAATTAACCTCA